GGAGGGGGAAATTAAACAGAAGACGACAAAAAAAAATACAAAGAAAGAACATACTCAAAAGATGTCTTAACACTGCAGAAGGATTCATCGCTTGAAAACACTCAAAGACTTTTGCTCTTGCGTTTTGCAGGATTCTCCAGCAGTTACAGGGACAAGTGGCTTCCACAAACAAAAGAGGATCTACCACGGGAAGGCAGTGAAGTACAGCAAACTCCAAACACCGAGGGGCAGAGCCTCAGCCGATGTAAAGTGTAGCAGCACCACCGGCTTCAATGAACCTGTACAATTCACACCCACTAAAGAGCCCTCAAAATGTGCAGATGGGGGTTAAAAATACCTGGTACTTCAGCTGACAAACATGCAACCCAACAAGAACACCTAAACAATTTGACAAAACACGAACCAGGTGAAAAAAAAAAAAGTGAATATATACTGCCAATAAATTACAGTAACAGGCTTGCTTTTATGTTACTATATATAGGAAGAAATTATTCCTTCAAAATTAGCAATAACTATCACAAGCAGAAATATATTTTTCCTACTCAAGAAGTTTAGGCAACAAAGCAGTGAACAAATTAAACTTCAGCTGCTAAACTGTTAAAATTTCCCACGAATTCCAACCAAAGATAGGACTGCTAATGACTCACGCCTAACAGTCATCAACTTTCACTGATTGCACTCATTATCAACAGGTATTCAAAGCAATACAAGTTTCTTTACGTAACAGGCTTGCTTCTTCCACAAACTGGCAGCCCGTAGAAATTTTCACAAATTTTAAAAGGTATTTCTGAGTGCCAAGCGATGCAGGGGCATCACTTACACCTACCCTGCTGCAACCACTGGCCATGTAGGCTCATGGGCAGGCTCTGAGGCAGCACTCACAGGGTGCCGGGGGCCAACAGCTGCACAAACAGGTACAAAGGTGCAGGAAAAGCTGCAGAGCACCTTGCTGTGGCAACTTTGTTTCAAGTCCTTTAACATTATTAAACAACGGATTCAAGTTAGTTGGTAATTTAAGCACTTGTTAATGACCAGTCTGTAAATGCTGGTTGTTCAGTGGTTCAAACCTGCACAGAGCTCCAGGGCAGCCTCAGTAACCTGATTCATGACCATGGACATTATGATTCACATGCTCCCTCTGATTAATTAGATTAATTCAGATTTTTTTGTTGCCACAGCAATACTGAGCTTCAGTAACATCTACCTAGTCACACGAGTCAAATACAAGTCAACCTCTTGAAACCCCTTCTGTTTGTTCCTTTTTGGTTTGTGTAAGCCTAGGAAGTGAAATTTAAATGACAATTCCTAGTCATGTCTATTCTGACAGTTTAAATCGGCTTCCACACTAATACCACCTTTATTAGTGTGCTACTAACCAGGACAACAAAAGCTCCTTTCACCTCCCTACTCTTTTCTTTCAAACACATTTATTTATCTAAGAGCACACTCAAACTGACCCATCGACTCACACTACCTACGAGAACTGCCTTCTCTCAGGCCACCTATTAAATGAAAAACTGCCATACTTCACCAAGGAAAACTGAATTTTCAGATCCTGTCCCATTCTTTAATACATCACAATCCAGATGTTAAAACTTCACCTAGGGTTTTATTCCAAAAACGTTAACCAACACATTTCTTACCTCATCGTTGATGACCTCGGATTGTTCTTCTTCTTCTTCCTCCTCTAGATCCAAGTCATTTTGCCTCAGGTATGCCTGGAGTGGAACACAATGTTTCTTCTTGAAAGCTAAAAAGTCCATCATATTCCCTTGAAGATGTTGCAGGAAAAACAGTTCAATCAAACATTCCTTAAAAGTTTCCTTAAGAATTTCCATCTGCTTATGGTGATGATCCAGACACAGTTTCCTCATTTGAGCGGTCTCTTGGTTGGCAGGAGGAATCTCCTCCAGCTTTTTGGGTTGTTTTTTCACTGCTGTGTTAGCTGTAGGAGTAAGAGGAAGACTCGACAGCCCCTGTGGCACAGTGGCCCGTGAAGGACTTGTGGGAGGAGGAGGTGATGTCATCCCAAACGCACCAGGTCCTCCAACTCCCGCGATCAATCCACCAGAAGTCCTGTCAAATCCGATGGGTCTACCCAGCTGCTGCCCTTGAAGCACTTGCTGCTGCTGTTGCATGAGCTGCCCTTGGATGATATTGCTGATCTGGGGTGGCAAGCTGGTCGTCGTAATGTGGCCCGGGCTGGTCAGGGATTGCATGTTGGCCCCGCTGGCCACGGGGCTCTGAGGGCCCAGGTGGTGGATGGTGCCCCCAGACTGCGAGTGGGGCTGCGACAGCCGGCGCTCCCTCACCGTGGCGGCGCCCCCGAGGATGGAAGCTGCACCTGCGCGGCAGCTCCTTGGGCAATCTGTGCAATTCCCGGCCCCTCCTGGTACACGAAGTGTCCCCCGTTGGAAGGGCTCAGGCTGATCTGTCTGACGAGCACACTGGCATCCACAAAGCCCCTGGTGGGGCTCTGGCTGCACATGCCCAGGCCGGGGCCCGGCGTGCCGGCCCGGACGTTGGGCAGCGTCTGCACCGGCACAGGGCTGGGCTGGGTGGGGCTCTGGGACTGCACCTGCTGGGGCAGCGGGGACGTGACCTGGATGTAGGATGGGGATCCATGCTCGAACCGCCTCTGCTGGGGGCTGAACTGGAAGCTCGGGGACGTGGGGTTGGGCAGCGGCAGCGGGGTCAGGGTTATCTGCTGGTTCCCCGAGGCCACGGGGCCCACGTTCTGCAGCGTGATGTTCACGTTCTGCCCCGCCACCGGGCTCCGGCTCATGATGAACTGCTGGATTTGGTAGCTGGGGGACTGGGGGGCAGATGGACTCGCAGAGGGCGCAAAGGAAGCTGCGGGGGACTGGGGTAGATTTGCCTGTTGTTCCTCTCCCTCACTGCCTGTGAAGGACCTGGACCTCTGGAGTTGGCGCTGGGCATTCTGAGGACCATTACCATGGTGCATTCTCACTGATCTAGGGTTTTACAGCACACTCTAAAGAAACACACAAAAACAGACATTCAGGGAAGGTAAAAACACTTCTGTAGCTGAAAATACTTAGTTACCATTAGAAAGCCTACCTTGTAGCAAGAACTCACTTATTGTGGATTGGCAGTTCCTTAAAATGTTTCAAATAATTCAAAACCCTCAGCACAGCTAAAGCTCATTTAAATCCCTCATACATTTCTCTAGTTAACAAAGTGCTATTGAATACTTATGATATAGAATATATTGTAACTATGGCATACATCATAACTAAGGAATATCATAATTAAACAATGATACACTCCCCTTAGCCAGTTAGAATGACTCCAAATAAATAATAATAAAAAACAAACAAGACTTTTTCCCTTCCTGTGGAACTTCAAGAATCAAGTCTCCAATATCAAATACATCTACTCCTTTTTTTTAGCTTATTATTCCCAATGTTTCAGTGCTTTTGACTCTTAACACAGAGTTCCTGTAAACATAATTGCTCACAACATATAGTCCATTGCTTCAATGAAAACTAAATATTTAAAAATGGACCAAGTATTCAACTTAAAAAACTTGCATCGTGAAAAATCTCCCTACCAAATCATCTCCATGCATGAAAAAGTACCCCACTTGATGCTTAACTCTGCCTTTTCTTTCCCTCAGAACACTTAAAGAGACTAAAACTAACCGAACCTGCACTGAAAACACTTTATTAAGCCAAGCTACCCAAAAACCAAGAAAACGTTCTGGCTTTCTATTTCAATCACAGACAAACAAAAATCCCACTGACAAGCGCAGACAGGTCGATTCAGGCTGAGAGTCACACAAGCAGTGAGGAGCAGAAAAACGAAACCTGATAATTTTTTTATTTTTTCTTTCTAATCAAAGTCTCTCTCGCATTTTGAAAGCGACAGTTTCGCTTTTGGTATTCCAGCACAAACACACGCGTAAACAAGCGAGTGCTGCCTCTGCGTTCCTAACTCCGAGCTGCCTGCAAGTGGCAACAGGCAGCGGCACCGCGGCACTCCTGGGAAGCACTGCTGGGAAGCGCGGGATGCAGCGGGAGCTGCCCAGGCACGGAACACATCACACCTCTCTCTGCCCCGTCCTGGGCTGTCCGCTCGACCCTGGCGATGGAGATGCTCCCTTGGCTGCCCGGGGAGCTGCAGCGGGGCTGTCACAGGGCTGGCAGCGGCGACAGGAGGGGCCCAGAGCCCGGGACCTGCCGTGCCAGGGGCTCATCCCGGCGGGTCCCGCTGTCCCGCCCCGGGGCTCATCCCAGCGGCTTCTCGCCTCTCCCGCTCCCCGGAGCTCAAACCCGAGCGAGCTCCCTCCCTCCGCCGAGCGCGAAAGGGAAAAAAAAAAACAAAACAAACCACTCTTTACAGGCCCCCTTTCCCACAAGGTTTAACAGCAGCGCAATTCCTGGCGGTGCTGCGGCTCTTTCGCAGCGCCGACACCAAACAATTAAGATTCAAACGATACCAACCTATCGCCAGCAACAAGCTCCCATTATTCTAATCGCTCGCGCCTCGCCAACACTCACGGCTCCAGCGAAAGCACCCAATTAATTACAGGCTGGCAAGGGGAGGTCGCGGAGCGGCGGGATCGCCTTTTGTGTGTGCGCGGCGCGGAGCGGAGCGGGGGCCGCCCGGGCCCCGCGGGGGAGCACCGGCCCCGCCGCCGCCGCTCGGCCCTGCCCGCGCACCGCTCCCCCTTCCCCAATCGCGGCCGTCCCCCGGGGCTCGGCGGGCGGTGGGGGGGCTGTGGGGGAGCTGAGGGGAGGCTGAGGGGCCGCACTCACCGCCGTCCCCGCTCTCCCCGCGGGCCCCGGGCAGGACGGGCGGGCGGGGCCGCCGCCACCAGCGCCGCCGCCGCCACACGGAGCGGGCCCGCCGCGCCTGCGCACGGCCCCGCGCGCCTGCGCCACGCGCCGCGCCTGCGCGCCAAGGCAGGCGGGGCGTGAGGGAAGGCTCCTGCCCTCCCCCCGGGTATGTCGCGATAGGAACGAGAGGCGGCGACAGGACGGCAAAAAAACCCGCGTTTATTGACAGCGGAGTGTGGGGGGAAGTAACTTGTGTGCGGGCAGGGCTGTCCTTCAGGATTTGGTCTAAATCAAGCACAAGGCTTGCGAGCTCCAGAGAAGGGCGGCGGGGCCGGTGAGGGGATGGGGCGCAGGTCCTGTGAGGGGCGGCTGAGGGGGCTCAGACCGGAGAGGGGGAGGCTCAGGGGAGACCTCGCTCTCTACAACTCCCTGACAGGAGGGGGGAGCCGGGTGGGGATCGGGCTCTGCTCCCGGGGAATAAGGGACGAGAGGGCACAGTCTGTGCCAGGGGAGGTTGAGGTTGGACATCAGGAAGAAGTTCTTCACAGAGAGAGTGATCAGACATTGGAATGGGCAGCCCAGGGAGGTGGTGGAGTCACCATCCCTGGGCCCTGGAGGTGTTTAAGAAGAGACTGGATGTGGCACTCAGTGCCATGGCCCGGTTGACAAGGTGGTGCTGGGTCAGAGGTTGGACTCAGTGATTCGGTGAGCTCACAGGACTTCCCCTCGCTCAGGACAGCAGAGACCTGCATTTGCCCCTGTGGTTATTGCTGGGTTTGGATTTGCTCCACCGTTTGTTCCTCTTCCTGCTGCTGGCCAGGTTGTTGCTCCTGCATGGGAGAAGCTTTTTGTTCTTCACTCAAGACCTGCGACAACAGAAAGAAGTGGAAGGAGGGGTCACAGCAAGAGGCGTCTTTTTAATTGTTTTAATTCTGAGTAGATAAACATCACAATTGTTACTGTGAATTTATCCTGAAATTAATTCCTACTTGTCTCTAAACCAATAACTGCAATCAAAAGTTCTAACATGACCAAAAAAACCTTATTTTATATAAATCAGGGTTGGCTGCTTCTGACTTTGCTGAAATGCCCCAAAAATGAGACAACTGCAGCAGAATTGTAAAGGAGCATGTCTGGAACAGAGAGCTGAGGCAGTGAAAGGGGATTAGGCAGCCAAAACCCACACAGAACAGTTTTCAGTCTTTCAAATACCCTTGTTATATTTTTCCTTATTAACAGGCTTTGCAATTGTTTTTACATGAGAAAGTAATTGAGAAGATTTGGAAATGAAAAGACTTTAAAAGGTACTGAAAAGAATGTACCGAGTGGAATTCACCTGAACAGACCTTTTCCTGCACCGTCGAAGGCTCTGCACAGGTGGAAACAACCCCAGACACTGGTAGGAGATTATTGTAGTTCTCTGCACTGAAAGTAAATGAAGTAGCTTAAGGTAACTGAATTTTGTGAAGCTATTTTAATATCATGACATTTTAACTCAAAAGAATTTTAAAATTCTGGAAGAGGAATGTGCAGTTAAGATCTGACACAGCTGGGGATGAGCAGGGAACTGGTGCGTCCCATGGAGCAATGCTGAAGCACTTCAAGCTTTCCTTTACATCAGCACAAGCACAGATTTGATTCTCTGACACTAACTTAAGGCTAAAAGTCATCACAGAGTTTTTGACAAGAGAAAAGCCCCTGTGAAATACCCTCTGTGCTTACAAAAACGAAAAAAAAAATTCCCCAATCAGGCCACCGGAGGGATTTACTGTTAAATCTGGGAAAAAATATTGACAGTAAAATTAAACTTACAGAAACCTATTTGAGGAACTTCTTTTTCTGGTAGTCGTTGTCAGCAGCTCAAAGTGATTCATATAGACTTGGGCACGCTCAGAATCTTGGTCCTTAGCAGAGGCTTGTCTAGCACGAAGAGGATAACCACCTGTGTTCTGGGACAAATAGAGATTCAAGGCTTGGGGACCAAAAATAAGTGAGCATAAGTGTCTCAAAAATCACACTTAACAGTAGTCCTGACTGAAGACAATTCATATCCTGCCACTTAAAAGTTAAAATAAACAGCTCCCCTTCCTTATTTTAATACACTGATAGTGCAAAATGGTCAAACTGTCACAGCATTGAAGAAATTCCTGTTCCTAAGTAAAAACCCCCAAGTCTTCACAATGCAAAGCACATTTCAATTTAAACTCACCTTTCCCTCTGGACCTGCCAAGGCTCTTAGGTAACGACTTTGGCATTGCCTTGGGGAGCGATAGACGTGGTTGGAGGAGTTAACCACGTCGCTGACAAAGTCCCAGTTTGCTGTCCGTGCTGGTGACACAACAGCCAGCTTTAGAGGAGCTGTCCATGACTGTTCCATGGCCTGAGGGGCAGAGGGAAATCCCATCTGTGAAACGTTTCAATTCAGCGCTCTTCCTGTGTGCACAAACACGTCTAATCCTGCACAAAGCAAGGCCTACGGATGCTGTACTAAACTTGCAAGTAAAAACTTTCTGAAGTCAACAGAAACTTAAAGTACCATCTTACTTTTAGCAGTGCCACATCTTCAGCAATCAGCCACGCAGGGCCATCCTGCCCAGTGTCTGCAGCTGAGCTGGTGAGAGCTGACAAAGGCCTTGCAAAATACATTTTCTGTGGTACCCCGGGCAGGGCCTTCTGAGCTTGGCTCTTCTGCCGTGTTTTCATTGTTTGTGGAGTCACTTGGTCAAACAGTGAAGGTGGAGGAACAACCATCCTCCCGTGGCAACGCTTCTTTCTCTCCCCTGGGGCTAATTGGCAAAAGTTATTACCTCCAGTGAGAAAGCAACTTTGTGCACCAAGATCATGACAGAAAACCGACAGCTGCGAATCACAAAGAGATTCTTGCAGAAGGGTTTTTGTAGCACTTCACACAAAAATGTGACCACACCCTCCCATGTGGTTTGGAGTCCAAACTTACGGGACAGCTCTGATCTCTGCTGCTTCCACGCCCTCCTGACAAAGACGGGGGGCAGCTCAGACTCTGGAATCGGGGTGCTGCTGTACATCAGGCACAGGACAGAGTCGGTGTAGACATCAGCATGATTCTCAGGTACAACAGGGGGAGTCCAAAGCTTAAAAACAAACAAACAAAAAAACCACCCCAACGTCAGCAACGACAAAAAACTCCCCAATCAACAGAAAAAACACCAACCCACAACCCACGGTCTGCCACGAAAGAAAGTATTTTAGATAAGGTTTCCTTCATATGAAATAAGAGCTGCTGACTTACAGGCATTATTTCTATTTCTCCATCTGGTCCTTCACTGACAAATTCCTGCATGAGAAACAAAGAATTTTTGATAGCTCAACACATCACCCAGCCCAGAGCCCAGCATTTACAAACATACCCTTTTTCACAGTAACTACAATTTAAAAATTACAGTAGAAAAAAGAAATCTTTAAAGGAATTACTCTCAATTTCAAGTTCACAGTTATGTATCAATTACCTTGATACATAACTGTGAACTTCCAGTTGATGTCAACCTACCAACCCACAGTTCTGCCAAACAGCAACCTGCTCTTTACAGAATTAAAACTGCTCACAGAGTGACACTTTCATTTCAAGAGCACAATAATTGTGCAAGGACTCAAGCCCAGTGCAATGCAAACCCAACAGACATGTCTAAAGACGTGGTTCACAGTGATAATAAGTAAACTTCTTTGAAAAGCAGGGGCTGCAGATTGATGGTACCGTGTTATAAGCGTCCTGTCTGGTATAGGTTAAGAGCTCCTCTCTCACTTCCTGCTGAAATTTTTGTTCTGCCTTTTCCAGCTCCTTGGCATGCTGATATTCCCATTTTATATTTGCAGTTTTCAACTCCTTTTAGGAAGAAAATTTGTACATTTTAAAATATTACTATTTTTCACACTAAATACACTAACAGCAGTAAATTGCCACTGATTTGAGTCTCACCTTTCATAGGCTAACAGTCATAGCAAAGTTAGTTAAAATGAGATTTTATTCTTGGTTAAGACTCTCATAGCAGTAAAGGGAAATATGTCTCCCTTTTAATTAGGAACCAGTGGTGTTTTCAGACCACAGTCACTTTGAGCAAAATTTCAGTGCTCAGAACAAAACAAAACAAAAAATAACCTGACAACAGCTAGAGTTTTCTATTTTGTTGTTATTAGTTACTCAGAAAATGAAATACGGTTGCTTACCTTGTTGGCTTTCTGGCTCTTTTGATCATCCAAAGTATGACACAATTCCAAGAAATTAAATGCATAATTTTCAATTGGCTTAAGCTGTTGAGAAAGAACATTTTGACACATTGCTAGTTCTTTAGCCCTTGAATTAGAAACATATAAATAACAACAAGCAGAAAAACAGCCCAACCAATAAATATTTTTATTTTGGTTGCAAATAATGGCACCGCCATTTAAGGCAGAAAAGATATATAAGGACAAAAAAACATGACTAGAACATGACTAGTTCTGACTCCTCTGCTCCCATCCCAATGGTGCCACTGAAAATAGGCTCCAACTATTGGCTTCCATTTTCCTAACTGGAAAAAAAAATAAAATCCCACCCAAGTTGTTACAAACGCTCTTGAGTGGTCATTAGTAGCCAAAGGGAAAAAAAGACAATCCAAATCTGACAGAACTTAAGGAATGCTGTCAATAGTCATGTAATGGTTAAGAAGAAACAGATCCTAGTCCTTGCAAGAAAAATCACAAGTATCTGCAAAGCACAGGACTTTGCAGATAAACTGGTTTTATATCATTTTATATATCCTGAAGTGCATTTAGTCCAATGCACTTTACAAATCCTCAGGGGAACATTTGGTGACTTAAGTGTTTTGGTACATGAACAGATCTATCAACAAGCTCAGATTGCCCCCCAGGAGTGTTTCAATATTTAAGTTGGCACAGAACTCTTCAATGTAAATGGACTGGAGATAAGGTACTTTAGGAAAGCCACTTGACTGTTGCACAGGAAATTCCAAATGTTTACACAAAACAAGAGAAATCACCATACCTGACCCAGCAAGCTAGCCAGCTGTTCTTCCAGCTGAGAAGGAACCCTGGTGGTTCTTGTATCATCCAGCTCTGAATCTATGTCATTTCTTAGCTCAGACAGTGTCTCTTCTGTAAACTTTCTAGAATCCTCTTGTCCACCTTCAGAGCAAAGATCCTTATGGAAACACGTTTGCAAGTATTCAATAAGACAGTGTATGATGGCAACATTTTTTTCATTGAACTTAGAAGAGTCAATATATTTGATAGCTTTTGCTGCAGGAGACGTTGTTTTGGATTGATTAAAACAATGCCAATAATAGAGTAAAATTTTCGTTGCAACAAGAGAAGTTTTATTTCTAGATACTGTTACCTCCTGATTTTCTATATGAGCTAAAAATTCAGGATCTCTACTGACTTTAACTATGAACACATATCAGTGGTCTGAAACAAGTATGGAAATAAATACAGAACTACCCATTCAAAATTCTGACTCTGATCTACTAAAACACTTATTTTTTTATGTATCATTAAGTAACTGCTCCCATTCTTAATGTTACAGTACCTGAGAGAAAAAGTCTGTTGAACAATCATCTCCCTCAGCAGCCAGTTCTTGAATCAAATGTTTCATACCTTTTTTCAACAGCCTCTCTTCGACAGAATTACCACTTACAAGCCTGTAAACCAAAACAAAATGCTGTTGCCTAGAAAACAGTGATCCTCTGTGAAACCCAGCTGTTTTCATGGCTCATGCTCCACAATGACAGCACTGAGCACCAGCACTCAGAGCCCAGCAGGTATTTTCATGGGAAGTTTTGTATTCAACTCTTAGTTTCTTAGAGGAAAGCTTCCTTTAAACAGCTGATTTCCTATTTTCAAAACACCCTGTTCTTTTAAGCTCTTGTTTTCAAAATGAGCAATAAACAGATGGTCCACTATACATCTGGATTTAACAAAAAATACAAGAGCAGGGAATTTGCTAAGAGTGTCTGCACTGCACACCCACCTGGCCTGGGGTGAGCTCTCAGCACAGCCTTCCAAGGCAAGAAACTGTCACTCGAGAGAAGCTTTCAGATACATCACCCATCATCACAAACGGCAGCATCTCATCACTAGTGGATGTGAAATCCAGTGAGAGATCAACTAAGGCATTTCTTGTTTATCGAGAGCTGAAAACACCCACATTTGTTTTGACTGCCCCAACACAGAAGTCCAGATGGTTTGTAAGATGAAAGTGGGAGGGAAAGACAGGAACAGAAGAAACAGTAAGGAAAAGGACAGAATTTTCATTTTCCCTCTAGTCTGAAGGGAAGATGTATGATACAATCTCTAAAGGGATTTTAAAAGACCAAATTACTTGAACTAAAAGGATGACTTCAACCAAAAATCCTAGTTTCACCCCAAATCATCTTCCCTTTATTTTTGATTTTCAAACAGCAATACTATTTCTTAGCATAAGCCACCTGTAAATGTGGATATCTCTGCCTCTTGCAATTTTAGCACACCAGTCCTCAGCCTTTGTGTCCACCAGCAGATCCAAATCGGTGTCATAGAAGACAACAGCATTCACATCTACGTGACTGACACCTGTGGAGGGTGTGTGGCAAGAAAGGATGGCACAGAAGATCCTCTTGTCTTGGTTGAAGGTTTTTATGGATTCCTAAAATGGGGAAACAAGCAGCTGAATTACAAATTCACATTAATTAAGGATAAATTTCCATACAAGCTTTTTTAACAGAATGAGAAGACCGGAAAAATTGCTTTCTTGTAACTTCCCCAACCTACATTAAGCATGCAAAGGTTTTAAGGGATCTGACCTCCCACATTACAGATCTACACAATTCAAAATTAATTTGTCTACCATTAAAACTATTAATTTATGGTCCAGTCAGCCAGATAAAAATCTGAAGATCTATTACAGTAATCACATTATGTCCTATGACTAAGCACACCTGAGTTATTATATCCTGTACGTGCTTCCTCGTTTTTTTGGTCTATTGACTAAATAGAATCCCTTCTGTTGGGCTGCCTTGTCTTGCTTTAAGGCAGAGTATTCTCTAAGTTTCATATAGCATCTGCCAGAAAGCACAACGATGCAATTTGAAATAAAGAATGAGAATAATTTAACTATATTGTTAATGTTTGCTCAAACTGTAGGCCCCAGAGGATACAGGGAATCTTGCTGGGGAGGGAAATGAGCACACTTTCAATTTATCCTCAGGCAATGCCAGGGCACTCTACAAAAAATAAAAGCCCCTGGAGTAAGGCTGAGGAAGTGCCGACAGAAAAACGGCAACTACACTTCAAGTACTAGCAATGCAAATAGCTACAGATAATGAAAGCAAAAGCAGTTAATCAAAAAGCTATTGTGAACTAAAACATCTGCATTTCAAGCACAAATTACTCATAAACACAGGACAACTAGTGCCATACTTCTTGGAAACACCCTGGATGCCTCATCAAATAGTAACATGACTGACATATTTCATTTATAATTACATATTTGTGCTCCAGCTACATCCATAATTTGCTTCAATAAGCAAGGGAATTATGCAAATGAATTTTGCAAATGTATTAAGACTTCCCTTTAGCGTTTTCCTTCCCACTATGAGCATCTATTAACTATTAGCTTGAGTAAGAGTTCCTCTTACCAGATAATGCCAGCTGGGAGCACCACTCCGACCAACTCATACGTACGTGAGGAGATGGAGGCTCAGGAAAAGCTCCAGGATGTCAAGCATTGGAATCACCTGTGTCCATATCAGCACACGCTCCCCTCTGGCTTTCAGCTTCTGAAGCAAGACAGCCAGAGCTTCCATCTTGCCTGTTAATGAAATAAGAACCTGCAGGTCCCACTCAACCATCAGAGAAAGCCCAGGCAGAGCCAGGGGTGGGTTTTTAATACCTGAGTCCAACTGCACCAGTCGGGGATCTGGAAACTGCACAAAACGAGGCCTTGCAATCTGCTGCACTGAGTGGGAGTAGGGAAGTAGCTGTTCCTTGAGATTAAACCTCAAGAGCTTCATTCCATGGGTGTGTGTGCGAGGAGGATGGGCCACGATACAAACGTGGAGGAGCAACAACCACAGCTGGCAGCACGCACAGATCTCTGTAAAACAACCCAAAACTTTGTGATACTGATTTTTAACTGCTTGGGCTATCAACTACTCAGAAACAGTCATCAAGGAGATGTTTGCATAGAAACATGAAGCACCTGGCTAAGGGCAACTGGAAGTAAATCAGTGTATGATGTTTTATCAAAGTAAATGCTAAAAAACACTCAAGAGGAAATTACCACTATCCATAAGGTTATCAAGATTAGCTCACTACACATCCTACTTTTTTGTCAGTATTAGCACAACAAATACAAGATAAGTCAAAGTAGAATTGCTGTATATCTAATAACAATTGCCATGGAACTATTTAAGATCTTAAAATTACCTAAAATTATACATCTGTGATGCAAACAGATTAAGCATAAAGGAACTGAGCCTGCAAAAGGATAAAACAGGGCAGCTTATTTATGACTTTTAGCATTTTACAGTGTTTCACATAACACCCCGACCCATCAAATCCATGCCCACACTGCAGATGGATTTGTCTCAGTTACCTCAGAACAACATCCTTCAGGGTGAGCTGTTGCTGCTTCACTGTCAGAATGAGTTCCTGCAGTGGATCCTGCAGAACCTCTGGAGTGCTGGCATAGGGAAGGCAGTTTGCAAAGCCAGCCCAGCGCCACTTGTTCATCCTGGCAGAGCAGTGCTGAGAGAGTTTTCTCTCACTGATCCAAGAGCAAGTTTCCAACAGGTCTCTGCCATACAGGGGGGTTCTGGAACAACGACGCTCATTCCAAGAATATATTTTGTCCAGGTGTTCCTTTAGTTGTCTTTTTTCTTCCAGGGTACCCTTTAAATTCAAAATTCTTTTCTGAATCTATTTTGACCAGATAAAGCTTATGCAAGAAAAAAAAAAAGAAATTTGTACCAAATGAAAGTGGAGAATAAGGATAATTCAGATAATACAGGAATTGTATGAATGACTCTGAGAGGGGAAGAGAGCAGGAGAAAAGCTGATGATTAGTCAAGGACAGATGTTAGGTTTGGGATTGTAACGCAAAATAAATCTGCTTTCCTACTCTATGCCTACTGGCAAAAATATAACAGGACTTTCAAGCAACCACTGGAGAATCCACGAGTACAGATGGATCAGACTGAGCCATTACGATATTCTAAATGCTTTAAATATTAAAGTTTCGACTATTTCACACACATGAATCTTGTAAACTATATATTGTTCATGATCAAGTACATACTCATGATATAAACAGTTAGCACAGTACCTGAGTTGGACACGAAAGTGTAGATGCTGATTTAGATTTAGTACTCAGGTCATCCACTGTCTCATTAATACATTCATTTGTTTTTCCAGGAAAGCAGCAAGACAAGAAAAAATTTAATTTGACAGACACATGATATTACACAACATGAAGATATTGTAGCTTCTTGAATTTTGATTTCTAAATGGTTAAAAAGTTAAAAAAAAATATTTAAAAAAAGAGATAAATGTGTGAATTGAATCATGTAGCAGCTCACCTTGATGCTTCAGAGACTGTCTATGGATGAGTTGACAGAACTGACTGTAGGACACAGTAAACATTTTCCCTCTAAACTGTAACGTCACAGGCTTGTCTGTCTCAGCAGTCCCCTCTGGTGCTGCAGCTGTGGAAGCCACGAGTAAAGTCTTGCTGGCTGTGAGGAGAAGACATAGAAGGTACAAGGGTAAAAAGAACTTCCTCAATGCACACTGCAGGATTTCAGTGCCTATCCCATCCATCCAGAGTGGGACTCAGTATTGCTATCTTGATTTTGTGAGCAAGGTCCTGTTACAAACCTGCTAATGGAGCTTGATACTCAGATATGAAATGCACAAACACATGGAGTACAACCTCATTTCTTTCCCATATTCAAGCAGTATTTAAAAAAAAAAAAGAAGAGAGTAGACCAGAAAGCACTGGTTTGTTTTACTCACAACACACCTTTCCTACGCTGGTGGTTTGAAAGCAGGGCACAGGGTTGTCGTCTTTGTATCTGCTCATGATGATCTGCTGTAACTGTGTCCACTGTCTGCTGCAACTGAGACCTTGAGAAGTCTCTAGTCCTACCTTCAGGTTTCTGTCCATACTGCACTGGTGTAAATAACCTAAAAATTAACAGATCAGCTTTCTGCACATTCAACAAAACATACACGAGGAAGTTGGCAATCAGCTCAAAAATGAACCCTCCCAGCTGCTCTTCAGAGAAAAGACTCTACAGCAATAAACTAATAAGCTCAAAATTTCACAGGATATCTTTTCCTCCCTCAGCAAAAAAAGAAAAAAAAATTCTTTAAGTGCTTTGCAAGTACATCTTAAATTTATAATTGACAAGAGAAGATTTAATTCTTCTGTTTAGTGAATTCTACTGCAGAAGTCACTTTCACTGTTTGATCAAAACCACAAGAGACTTCAACTCTCTTGAGCTGAAGAAAAGATCAAGACTGAGCCTTCACAAATGAAAAGAACTCTTAAGTGGTGAATATCCCTCTGCTTTCCCTCAGAAGGCTGGCACACAGAGTTTAGCAGTGATCAGTCTGTAAACAAAAGATACCAAGAGAAACAAGTAATTCTGAATGAATCCCCTCAGCCCTCACAAATATTACCCATTTTCACCTGTTACTTAAAATCAGTCAATCAACAAACAAATCAATCAATCCATCACCAGAACACCACATACCTGCTTGGTTTGAGCTTCACTGGCTCAGGTCTGAGTGTTGAAGAGGAGCAGTAGATCTCCTCAATCAGCTTTCTAGTTACCTTCAGTTTTGGCAGTACTTGTGCCTCATAGCAAGTAATTTGGTTTTCCATCCCAATCACATCGAAGAGAGACCAGTCTGCATGCTTAAGGTATTTAAAAAAAAAAAAAAGGAAAAAAAACCCACAAAGTGAAGAAATATTTTACTACCATTCAGTTGCAGCTAAAAAAAATAAATGGTAATAATTCCCCATTATGTGAGAATGCCTGAAAAGCTCAGAGCTGATGGCAGAGCTGAAGGGAAAGGTGGAAGAGCCAAGTGTCATGGGACTGTTCAGAGAGCAGCTGCCGTTACTTTAAAAGGTTTCATCAACCTACACCATGAAAATAGAGCATTGTGCTCATGTTACCAGGAGTCAGAAACAGGGCAGCACCCTCCAATTACAGGCCTTTGCAGAACTGCTGTTCCTGACCCACCCATTCCCACCTTGACCATTGACCTCTCTTCCCTGTCCCCCCACTCCCAAATGATTTTTCCAACAGGCTTAAAGAAGAAACTATTTGAATTTCCCAGGACACATAATGCTACTTTTTTAGCTTTGGCCAGTCTTTCTTAAGCCTCTAATATTGCTGAAATCACTAAAAAAAAGGATGAAGTGCCCTGCAATGTAACTTTAACAGACAATACTTTAAGCAAAACTGGAATCTGATACAGCTTCTCATCTCCAGGGCTGTTCACAGCTTAATTATGCCCTTACTGCTCCTCAGGTCATGTTAAGCAGTTCAGGTTAATTGGAAAATTAAGGAAAACCAGAATGTGTTACAAAATGTTACAAAATAGTCTCACGTTTCTTTGACAAGGATAGCAAATTCCCAGCATACCTACTAAGTTCAGTACCACCACAAAGTCAATGGTGATTGTTTATAATAAATCTTAGCAGTTGCTCCTAAAAATAAGTGAATAAGCAATTCAGGTTTTGCAATTTAACTGGGACCTGAATTACATGTAAGGAATTCCATGTCCTGTGCCACCGGCTCCCTCAGTCAAACCGAGTCAAGCACAGGAGAATCCCTTCCCCCCTCACCTTCCAAAGGTGCCATCCCACTGCATCCAGCACTGCAGAGGCCGTTGGGAGCTGCAGCCTGTCCAGCACGCAGGAGGAGCGTGGGCAGCGGGGCCTGAGCAGCCCAGGGTGGTCACACACCCTCAGCAGCTGCGCCACGACCTGGAGGACACTGGCAACGTGCCTGCTTCTGAGGCATTCCTGAGCTCTGTTATTTACAGGGAAAATAGACTTTAAAGGACCCTTTAAACACAGTGCTTTTTAGGAGCTCGGGTCTCTCTGCACGCTCAAATTGTTCTTCTGAATTCATCTGAGAGCACCAAGTTATCACGTGTAGGAAAGTAACGAGTTTAAAGGTGCAGCCTTCCATTCCTCCAGTTTCTCTCACAAACTGTTAATAATTTACACGATATATTCTGATTTTAAAATCACATTATCATAAAAGGGATTCTCTCAGATAGGCACTCTTATTTCAAATGGAAATGACACTGGATAATATATGAAACACATATTGTCGATATTAAGGCCTTTTTTAAACACCTGAATAAATATCACTTTAAAGTATTAAATTCACTGGAAAATACAAACTAGATGTATCAGAAAAGCAATGTAACATACATATAATCTAGAATATTCAGTTCCTAAATAACTTTAGAACTAAATTTAAACAAAAACTGTGACAGTCAATTGCTATAAATATTTTGTCCCATAATCTGCAAACACTCTTTTCTTATTTATGCTTCTTTGCACCTTGCAAAACATCTATATAAAAATAAACAGAGGATAAATAAATGGCTGAATGCAGTAACCACTTGGTGTGGAACAGCCTGCACAGCACCACGATTATGCCAGTGTGCTTTAATCTTTACTTTACTCAGAACTGACACACCAGCAAACAAGCTCTCTTATTGTAAGTGGAAGAGTTCCTGACTTTAATGATGACTGAACAATTAGGAGCTGTTCAACAGCTGTACCTTGGCTGAGCCAAGATGTCTTTACACATTGCCTTCTGCCGGTGAGACAGAGCACAGGTGAGCACGTGCTCGTATCTCCTGGGCAGCTGCTTCTCCACGTGAATTCTGGACCTCTGCAAAACAAAGGACTGCACCACCTAAAAGAATACAGAACAATCGTTTCCTAATTGTGTTTTCTCAGAGAAAGAGGTGCTAGCAATGAGGTGCTGTCCTCAGGAGAGACATACCCTCTGCAGCCTCGCTGCAACTCTCTGATAATGCTCTTTGTTCTCCTCCACAGGTGCTGCCTTCCCAGGATCCACGCAGGATTGGGAAGTCTCTGGAATCAGGAAACAGGCAATGGCCCACAGATCTTTTAAGGAAGTCGGCAGAGGCTTATTCATCAAGAGTAAGCGATGGTGACTGCAAACAGTGAAGGTAACAATTAAGTAAGATCTATTTCATAACTTAAATTACATCATCACACAACGAAAATCTAAAAAACCTGCAGTTATAATCACTGAAGTTATTTCAGAACTGACAGACAAAAACAGAAAGAAAAATGTGAATGGATGCTTCAGACCTCTGGAGATGGAATATTGCATCCCAGTGCTTCTCTGTCAGATCATTCCCATTCTGCCTCTCATCTAAAACCAGGTACCTCCACTGTACTTCCATAAATGCTTCATAATCTTTCAAGAATTGCTGGCAGGAAGCAATACAGACATTGAAGTTGCTGGGGTCAGACCATTCCTGCAACACAACACCACAGAAATCCTACAGGCTTTTTTGATGGCTTTCAGAGCAAAGATTATTGTTTCCTCTTCTGGGATTAAAATGGATTATCTTGCACATTATCCCAGTGCAGTTCTTCAAAGCTTTCAAAATCCCAAAAGGCAAGAGAATGCTCAGTTTAACTCTCTGGTTGTGATGTTTGAAACATTATTGAAAATGTCTTTAACAGGATTTCTGTTTTCTTAAAGAAGAATAAACTTTTCCTACAAAACAGATGAAGTTTTTAACCACAATGGTACACCCTTGACTCAGGCTGATATTTGCTTTCTGTGTGATGCTTGTGCTGCCCAGTACATGTGTAAATGAAATGATGTTCCACAATACCTGCCCAGTTTGAAAAAGTTCTCCTGGGTTCCCAAGATACAGAAGAATTTTCAAAGCAGGACACCAGCGTTTCAGTTCAACCTCCCACTTCAGCACACTAAAGTTTTCTGAGACAACAAGAATAGGACCCCAGTTACCTACAGAGATAAAGCAGGATTGGAAATGACCATTTACCATTTCAGAACTTAAAAGAAAAGGCAATAATGTATATACAGACAACATATACATGCACTAGCAATTATAGGAATTGTGTATACTTTAAAAAAAAAAAAAAATTATTCCAGGTACATTTCTTTAAATTATATATATTAAAAGCAATTATTTTTTCAACTTACTGAAAACATTGATTAATGAACTGTTAAAAATATAGAACTATAAAATATTTATAATATTTCACACCTTCATTACATGCCAGATGTGCAAAAAAAGCAACAACTTGCACTGTTTTTCCAAGCCCAGGCTCATCAGCCAGAATGCCATTGAGGTTCATCTTGTACAGCTTTGCCAACCACTCCAGTCCAGCCTTCTGATACTCCCTAAGAGTTCCACGTAGCAAGGACAGGGTATCCCATTTTCCTGCTGTCGTGGTTTGAGCACTGCCTTTGGGTACCAAGGCTCCTGCAGCAGCAGCAATGCCTGCTAAATCTGCCATGGATTTCTCCACAGTGGATGTGAGAAGATCTGGAAGCACCACCTCCTTCTGAAGGCTCTCGATCTCATTTGAAGAGTCTCTTTTTTCTGCACAGAATAATAAAATCACGGTGCTGCCATATCTGAGATGAGTGATTCATTAACAGGTTTGATGCCATTTCCAGCTAATCCAGGCTCTGAAGAATACAGGAATTCTTCAGGACAGTAATACTGGAAGTGTCTCAGACTTCATAAGGAAGGGCAAGCTGAGGTGGGACACAGGTGGACAGTTTTAGTGAATTCAGTCTCATGCATGGGCTGCAAAGGGACATACAACTAAAAACTCTGACATAAACAAGAGTTCAGCAACAAAAAGCCTTTACAATGTGTTTATGAAAGCTTTAGTAACCCACAGGAAGTTAGTGAGCTGGAGAAAGGAGATATTTATGACTCAAATCTAAAAACAGAATACCAGCTCCTACACATCTTTTTGGGTAACCTTATACTACTATCAGGATGCAAGAGAAAAAAAAAAGGTCATGCAAAAAAACCAGCTAACCAGAAAACCTCCCAGGTTTTTATTAATTACCTTTTCTTGAGACATTCTGCAAGTTTAATGCTTTCTTCCTCCTCTCTTCTAGCTCTACTTGCAGTTTTAAATCTACCACCTAAAATGGGGGGAGGGTGGGGTGGAGGGAAAGAAGCAGAAGGAAACGACAAACATGAACACATTTACCTTCAAATACACCCGTGGATTAATTAACATTTCTTCAACAGCAAGACAGGCATCGGACACTGCTACAATGCAGAGCCCTCAAATCACCAAACAGCGTGTAGGGACTGGCCGTGAGTCACCCCTGGAACACGCAGGAGATACCCAAAAATAACTCACATCAAAACTGCAATGTCCCCTGTGAGCCAACTGCACAGGCTGGGCTGAGTGAAGCTCTCTCCTTCCTGACATATAAGGCCTGAAATTATTCAAGCAACCCCAACATGCAGCTGTCTTTGCCAACAGATAATATTCACCCCGGGGCTGAGCAAAGCTCAGTTGTAGGATTTTCACTCTTATGGTCCAATAGGTTTTTATTCAGTAAAACTTTAGATTTTTTGATTTTTTAATTTTTTTTTTTTTACATTTACCTGTTTAATGGTGGACCAGAAGTGTTCAATTGCACTGGCAGTAAAAGCAGCAACAGCCCTCAGTTGCTTCTCTTCTCTTTTCTTGCATGCTTCCTTATGAAGTATGATATCCTCGTGGTGACGAGCTACACTTAAAATCAGCTGAATAACACCATGAAATTACTTTTAGGTTTTTACTCTGTTCTATCTAAAAAGCATATTTCTAGAGAAAGGAAATAATTACAATCCCTTTAAGTGTACTCTTTAAAGTTTACAAACACAGTGGAGAGGCAACCCAAAACTCACCCATCCTCCCTCATCACGTCCTAACCATGAAAATGCTGCCTGTTCTACCCCCCCTTTTCTGGCTGAAAATATCGAATCCACATTACTCTCCTGGCAGTTATTATCTTCCATCTTCTTTCTTGCACAAAATCAGTTGCCATCCACTGCATTTCTTCCAGGAGGTAATCATGGTGTGATTTGTGCCGTGGGGCCTCGTGGAGTTTGGGCAGGCGCTTCAGAGACCATAAACCTTCTTTCCTCAGTGCTGTTATTCGCTGCAGAATTTCATCTTCCTTCGAGTAAACATAATTAAACTTATGTTTCCTACTGCACAACACAAAAACAAGACTGAGACACTGTGAAAGATGTTACATGGATAACCAACAGCAATTATTACCCAGTCCTTGGAAACATCCTACAGTGTTTGAAGTTGCACTTTGCTAAAAGATAATGAATAATGCATTTTGTGCAGATTTATGTAAAGTCTCTGCAGGACTTTACAGGGCAGCTGTATGATGAGAAATCAGTAGAGAAGCTTGGGATGCAGTGGTACTCAGTCTTGAGAACTTTTGTTTTTCCTCCTATAGTATCTCTAGATCTCCTCAGAAGTGCAGGGCTGATTCAGTGAGAAATTTCACAGAATTTAAATACTCTGCCAGATGGCACATGGACAGAATTCTCTGCAAAGTTCATATAAAAATACATTTAGTTGCTGGCATTTTTATTAAGGCATGCTAGCATCCTGCAACTGCTGGCAAGCAAGCACAAGCAGCACTAATTTTCTTTGTGATTCCTCCCTCCTTATTCTAAACAGGCTGCATAAAAAGTTAAAATAATGGATTCTGTTTAATTAAACCCCCTTCTAGGATTTCATTACAAGAACAAATGCTCTCTTCCCTAGAGAACGTGCCTGATTCCTTCTCACTCCTTCTCTTTCTTCAAGAAAAATCATGTGTGCCTGCAGCACTAATTAAAACCAGATGAGAGAGACAGGTATCTACAGAGCATCCTAAATTTAAATGAACACAAAGTTTTACTGTAAAGAAAGATTCCTACCCAGCTGTGCTATACCATGGCTATCTGAAGCAAATTATCAGGCTTGGCAAAGTCACCTGCATGAACTACTGAAATGATTTGCTCCTTTCTCCCCAGGTTGGAGTAATAAATTCTGCCATCCACAAGGTCTGCACACCAGGACACAGGGAGGGGTCAGCACACTGTTCCCTCTTGCTGCACCTTCCACGCACAACTGCCACTTATTTTCAGGAATGCAATGAATTTGATCCAACAAAAATGAAAATCCAGCACAAGAATACTTGAACTGAGAGTTGGGCAGACGTTGCAAATGATACAAATGAACAGATATGTTCTTCACAGAAGTAAAAGTTCAAGTGAAAGCAAAGTGCCAAAAATTAATCTTAGACTTCTAATGAGGTAGATTTACCATTCTGGTTCTGAGGATTCTTCCCAGTGCTCAGACAGACTATCTAATGGTGCAGAACAGATGACAACAGCAATTCTAATGCACAAAACCCAGCCATTCAAAGCTACGTAGAACATAACATGCAAAGCTGATACCTGCTGTGGTGAGGGCAGTGGAGCTGGGACCACAGCCCCATGCTTCTCATCCCAGCCTGCTGGCTGTACCTGCTGAGGACAAGCTGGGCTCCTGCTGTGTGGAGCAGGGAAGGAATTGTGCAAACTTGGCAAGTTTGGTCCATTCTGCTGTTGGTCTCCCTCCTGGCTAAGCTGTTGAGCCCCTTGAGGAACAGGAGGCATTCCACCTGCAGAGAGACCTATAAAAACTGCAATTTTGGTAAATAAAATCATGAAATAACAAAAATTACCAAAGAAAGTGGCGATACAGCCCGTTACATGGCTGGTCAAATCAGCTTTCCACCATACCCCAATACAACTGCCTGCCTGAAAGCTCTGAAGGTGTGAATCAATCAGCATGCCAGTCCAGGAGGTACTTACTGGCTCTTCAACCTGACACCACCAAGATCTTTGTTGACAACAGCTACACAACCAGTCTCCATCAGGGTATCAAATGACCAAAAGGGAAAAATTTCATGCAAAAACATTAATTAAGGAAAGCAACAAATTAGGCTCAGAGGGTGCAAATTTAAACCCAATGCATGGAAAATGAGACGTGCAGCACTCACTAAGGTTCCTGAGATTTTCTCCACAGGGTTTTTAAAAAGTGTAATAATTGGTATTAGATATAATGTTACAATTACAGAAAAGCTCATTAAAGCAATTATCTTTAATTACAAAGCTTAAAACTCACACTTAATCATAAATCATTAATATACGTACTAGATGTACCAGCATTATTATAAAGGCTGTGCCTTTTTTTTAATCTTTTATCAGAACTAATTATGAGTCTCTATGAAGTACTATTTTTGAAATGAAATAAAGTTAACCTAATAAAGTATCTCATTATCAATAAAGCAGTGCATTGGGCTAACACTCCCCAAGCTCTAACCACACTTACGTCTGATTTAACTTCTACATTATTTTGCTATGAAATAGTTTTTATGATCACAGAATTGCTTCCTGCCCAACTATAAAGGGAGTTGATCTCAATGGTCACTGACCTTTTAACTCACATTAACCACTTGAATTCTCTATTGTCCCGGCAGATTTATCCAGCTGCTTTATTTCTAGCAGTCAGACACGGAGGGTTCCTGCAGCACATCCTGGGCGTGTCTGCACGTTGAAGACAACTCAGGAGGGTCAACAGGTGCTTTAGTTTGTGTCCAGCCCTCCGACTCGTGATGCCCAACCCCGCAGTCAGCGCAGAGACAGAGAGGCCGGTGCTGTCACAAGGGGAGACGCCTGGACCTGTAACAACAGGCTGGTGTCACTCGTGCCGTTCCCAGCCCTCCGTTTCACAGAGCAGAGGTGGGGATGGCTCACCCTGTAAGTACACTGCGGACCCTGCAGCGCTCACACCAACCCAGCGGGCTGTAAATGGAGCCTCGGGAAAGCGGCATCTCTGAGCCCTAGTGCAGAGCCAAGGTGTCTGACCTGATACCTCACCGTGCAAGGGCTGCCCCCCTTCCCCCGCGGCCCCTCCGCGCACACCGGCTGTGTCCCGCACTGCCCCGCGCCTGGGCCGCCACCGCCGACTGTCCCACGGCCCCGCACACCCCGTGCCATCCCCGCACCCCCCGGTCCCGCCGGCCCCGTTCCCGCCGGTCCCCGCCCCGCCCCTCCGGCAGCCCCGCCCCGCCGGGCGCTCGGCGATACCATTCCCCTCTCATGGGGGGGGGGAGAGGGGGAGGGTCCTTCTGTTTTTATTTTTATTATTTTTGTTATTTGTTTTCTCCAAAGGCTAGCAACAGAAGCCCCCCGTTTATTTCAACTGCGATCCATGTCACAGTTTTGGGGCCTTCATTATATGCAAATAAAGGTGGGGGTTTTTTTCAGATCGAAAGGCATAGAAAGATGGAGCTGTGGATAGAAGATAACGCAAAGCAGGTCAACAGTACAGACTAGCAAGGGATATAAAGGAAAATCCGGGCAGAGCTCCTCTCTAGAGCACTTTTACACACTTGCTCTCATCAGGCAAGGCTTTCATGATGACATAAAAAACTCTAAGTAAAAACTCAGATAAAATAAACATGGAAATCCTTTTTTAAAGGAGAGCAGTGCCCTGGGAAATAAAAAAAAAAAAAAAAACAAAACAAGAAACAAAACAAAAGAAATTGCAAACCAAAATAATTATTCCAGTAGAAGCCATAAAATTCAAGAAGCCGCTAAATGAAGGAACAATGGGTTGACTCCTCATTTTCAGTAAGTGGCACACTCTCAGCCAGGGAAATGTATCAAGCACTTGTACCAATATCCAAATGCTTGAAGAGCCTTGTTCCAACCCTTCAGTGGTGTTCCACAAGCTGGGAGTGCCAGAGAGCTGCTGCTGCTGTTGTTTCTTCCACCACCTCCACAGAGTTGGAAACAAGAACCAGAAGTTAAGGAAAGGAGCATGAACCCCAGAGTATGCAGATCCCCAAAACACAGGAAATTAAACGTGGATTCCCAAAGGGTAGCAGTGCTCAGACTTGTGCTTCCCATACCACCGCACATCCCTCTGTTCTGGGCAGCTTGATGGGGATGAAGAGTTCACACACACCGAGTGAACACAGGCTTGATGAAAGCCCAGAGGAATTCAGCACCATTTCTTTCACACCTGCCGAGGTGATTCAACCCTGAATCTAAGAGACAGCTCTAAAGGATTTCTGGGTTTAGGGGAAACTAAACCAGCAGCACCACCTTTAGGGATCACCACAGGAAATGCTAATACACGTTCCAAGAGCAAAGAGTTCACAGCAGTCAACATGATCATGGGTTCCTAACCCATGCATGTTATTCCACATGGATGGCATGGAAAATAAAAGCTTAATGGTGTTTAGAGATTCAGGTAACTAAAGGTGGATGATAAAAAAAACAATCAAAAACTCATGGAGTCATAACTTCGTAATACAAAAAGAGTATATTAAAATGATCTGCCCCACCTTTATGTAGAAGTTATACATATTTAAAATACTATTTTCCAAGTAAACATAATAAAAACATTATTCAAATAGCAATTATGATAATCCTGCATTTCAAGATTCTTTTAGAAAGCTTCTTTCTCCTTGAACTGTTTTCAAGTATATCAGTCAGGTGAATTGGTCAGTGGTATAAAAGGCTTCTGTTTTTCCTACTGCACTGTCTTCCTCACCCAGTTTCTCCTGGGCATCCAGTTCTTGTTCTGCAAGCACACAAACTCCTGCTTTACTGGATTCCTGGATTTTGAAAGGCCACTTTTTTGTAGACAAAGAGAACTTTAAGCAGCAAGGGTTCCACATCCAGCCACGCTGGCTCAGTCGGAATCATCACCACAACCATCACTGCCTTCGAGATCGCTGCTGTTCTGCAAAGCAAAATGGAAAATGGTCTGTCAGTACTGCATTTGCATCTACAGACTGACCTAAATCAAAGATACTGACTTTAAACTTCTCCAAAAGTATAAGAAAATAGTCTTACACCCATCTATTGTAATAAACAGCTGTGGTGGTAAATTATGCTTCTTGTAGCAAAAAGAGACGTACACTGGAATACACTCACCAGCAGAAGAAATTTCTTCTCACATTTACAACTCCATGATTACAACCCGAGTGTGTGGGAAACTCAAGAGTGGGAGAATAGTGTGAAATGTTGACATTTAAAATAAATGCAGGTAAGATGACTTAAGTGGTTTCTTATGCAAGTCCCTCAAAAGCCAAGTTTGTTACAAAAGGTCTGCAGCCAGATTTGAGAATTTCATTTGCTACAGAGTTTATGTCTGACCTGTATTACAGATATTCAAGGGCTCACTAATACTACTCAAAAATCAAGCCAGTTGTACAAAGTGATATTTGGGAAATACTACAAATATTGGCAACTCTCAAGTCAGAGTTCTTAACTGGAGTCACTCCTGCAGGATTAGGTCCACATCGTGCAATAAATGTGGAGGGTTTATGTATTTTGAAGCAGGTATTTCAACTGACATGATTGACAACAAAGGATTTTATAAAGAAAAGCTAACATGACTATATGTCTGTAGTTACTCCTTTTTTCCTTCACCACCACTTGCTGAAAACAAACAGTAAATCCCATGAATTTAACACTGACAGTTTAATATCCTACTACAAACCAAATTCTGACACACTGAGACAGCTGACTCCATAACAGCAAGCATAGCTCACTGAAGTGCAAACAGCCTGCAAAACCTCAGAGGAGTCTGTCATATCATCCTTATTTATCCCTCTCCAGACAGTTGGTCTGACTGTGATGCCAAAACCCTTCTTGGTGGAGTTTATCTGCAATGATCAGACTTGCCTTCCCCAGGAACACCTCAAAGATTGGGAACCTGCCAGCACCAACACCCTGAGCCAGGTAAGGACCCTCTGCAACACTATGCCTTTGTTTTATTGCACCTTACAGCTGACAGCAGTTCCTGTTGTCAGAAATCCAAATCCACAATATTCCATTTACTCAGTAGTTGTTCTGACGGCCCATTTTGAGCTCATGGCAGATTTACTTTAAAAAGCTGGTCCTAAATTTCCCTGATTCCAAAACACAGTAAACAGGGAATTACACAAAATGAGATCAGCCCAAAAATCAGAGAATATCAGAGGGCAGCAGGTATGAAAACTAATCTCCCAAGGAGTTTCACAACAGGCAAGGCTGGCAATGCCCATAATCTCTGTTGTCAGTTTATGATTCTGCAAATTGGCCTGTGCTTAAAGCATTCCTTCCTCCCTCCTGCACAGCCACATGTAAAACCCCGTGAAATCAACACCTTGTACAGTGAATTCAACTGTCATCCAGTGCACAAAGACAGAACACTGTCATCTCCCAGGGCACATTCACGGAAAACAAGAATGTTACCAGGGGAAGAGACATTTCAACCTGACAGCTTCCATTTGATAAAATAATGGCTTCAATCATTACCTTTGAATTTTTGTTGTTGGTTTGCATCTCCACAGCAGACGAGTTGAAGTCGTGAATGGGGAGGGTGCTGAGCCAGTTTGCCATGGATTTCTCCTCCCTTTCCGTGTTGATAATGGTGGGGTAGATGAACTGCTCTTTGAAGAGAGCAATCTTCTGCTCCTCCTCTGCCCACTCCAGCGGCTCGTGCAGCCCATCGTTCCCAAAGCGCCTGTTGTACTTCTCAAAGTGCACTCTCTCCAAAACCAGCCCGAGCCCCGGGGCCTTGGGGACATCCACCTTCTCCTCCCCCCAGCTGCGCTCCAGGATGGACTCAGCAGCGTATCCCTTCACGATGGCTATCACCAGCCCGATCATCTTCCTGATCTGGTGCATCATGAAGCTCTGCCCTTTCACCTGGATCACTGCAAATTCCATGTTCTCCCTGACAAAGGGCTCTCCACAGGACATCTCCATGATGTACCTCTTGGCACTGGGGTCCCTGGGGCCCTTCTGGGATGTGAAGTTGTGGAAGTTGTGTGTCCCTTTATAGCACGAGAGCAGTTTATTGACCCTGTCAAGGGTCTCTTTGTCCAGCCTGTAAACCTCTTCTTGCACATCGTGGTCCTTGTGGGCAAAGGCAAATGTTGGCAGCATGTAAGAGTAGGTTCTGGCATCACATTTGTTCTTGGAGTTGAATCCCCCAGTGACTCTCTTCAGGCCTGGTTTTAAAAGTGGCATTAGGTTTTTGAATCAGTAGGTAACAAACTGACTCTGATCTCACTCATACCAACATGAATAATTTTTAAATGAAGTACAAAATAGATTTATTTTTGAGAACCCTAATTTCAAGCTAAATGAAACATGTTAAAACTAAACCACTTGTAAGTAAAATTATAATGGCAAGGGAGAGACCTTCTGCAGGAGAAAGCTTCTCCTTGAAAACATCTTCCCTGACCGTTCCAGTGTCCTTACCCAGAATTCTGATGTGAGAAGGAAGATGATTATTGATCTTTTCTAAGATGTCATCTATCAGTCTGACCTTCAATGACACAATCTGTCCAGCTGCAGACACACCCTATAAAAAACCATAAAACACACAAACCCACACAATCACGTGCCATGGAAGCTCTGAGACAGCACTTGCAGAATTGAAACAGTTGAAGAACAGGTTTATTTCTTTTTCTCCCTGGTCACTTCAGGCTGAAGTGAGGCAAAGGCAAGGCCACAGGCAGAAATCCACGACAGAATAACCCAAGAAGACCTGCTGGTGCTGCACAGCCACACAGCACCTGAGCAGCCTCACAGAGGTTGCTGTAACATCTCCCTGTGTTTCATCTGCTGTAACATCTCCCTGTGCTCTTGAGCAAAGCACCAACTGAAAAGCAATTCTATACCCAGCCAAGGTACCTTATCTGTGCGAGCACAGCGCTGGAAAGACATCTTCTTCATATCCTGCCCGTGGTTCTCTGGGATGCAGCCCGACTGAACCAGGGCAGACACTAAGTCATCCTCAATTGTCTTGAACTGGGAAGATCCCACGTTTCTCTAAAACGGGACATTTGGTAAAAATAAGAAACGGTAACGATCGGATAACTGAAGATGATAACTGAAAAAAACTTTTAATCAAACATTGTTGGGAAACTCTTTAAAAGCCTTCCCTTCACAGCCCCAAGAGCACTGCTGTTCTCCAACAAAACTAACTATACCAGAGAGTGTTAATAAAACACCATTCTGATTTAGCTGTTACTGTTATTGCAAACAAAGGATGATTTCTAATTTCACTGTGCAATACTTCTGGAGTTTTTTGACGACTCCTTCAACTACATGAAACAGCACAAATGTAACTCCCAGTGCCTGCCAGCTAACAGCTGCTGCTCCAAACCCAGCCTGTGCAAATTCTGTCTCCAGAAATCAGACTGGGTTCTTCTGCTCAGTTCCCCTGCGCTGCTGTAGAGTGCAGCCTGTGGTTTTCTCCAGTGACTCCTGTGTGCCACTCTCAGATGAGCTGTAACAGAAACGCACAACTCCACTTGTGTGTGAAGCTGCAGAGCTCAGCCTCACAGGCACCACCCCTAAGCACAAGGTTTCCTGCTGCTGAACAAACCCACTTTGTTGCATAAGCATCAAAGGCTCCCTCCCCTGTGTGCAATCTTATCAGTTACCCCGGGGAGCTTTTCAAGTATTCCTTAAGTGTGTGGAGCTCGCAGTACGCGCAGGGGAGCAGCAGATGGAGCAGGATCACCCTCTCTTGCCATCACCGTGCCACAGACGTGACAAAGCACCAACCCTTTCCTGCCACATGCCAACACAAAAGCCTTGCAACAGTTTTCCTCATCGGAATGCACGAGAAAAAGGAATCTGCACGTTGAGAGACACATTTAGGTCTCAGACCAAAGAAACTCAGCCCAGCTGCTCTGAGATGCAAAGCTTCACCCAGAAGCTGGAGCACTGGTGAGAAGGGGACCACCAGGCAGCACTAAAAGTTTCATCAGAACTGCAGTGTCTGTGCTCACAGTCTCCTCAAGAGCCTCGTCTGCAGCAGTTTATAAAAGATCTTCTGCTGATGCTCTGTATTAAAAGCAAACTCACTGGAACCACCAAATATCAGAGATGCACCACTGACTGTTTTAAATCAAATTCCTACCAAGCCATTTGCATCCAGGCACACACTGCTCCTGCCCCAGCTTTTCAAGCACTTCCTTACCCAGCGACCAAACACAGCAGACTTTAAAGAAAAAAGCAGCCCAAGTCGCTTAGCCAAACCACGTACCTGCATGCCGTGGTAGCCTTTCCCTGAATATGCCATCAGCAGCACAATCTTCCTCTTGGGCGACTTCTTACCCTGATCCTCCGCATCCTCCTCATCCGCGCCTCTCTTCAGCCTTTTGTCCTGATGCCCGTTCTCTCCCGGCCTCTCGACCCCCTCAGCGCCGCTGTTCAGCCTCTTCGTCTGGCCGGAGACCGCTGCCCTCGGATCCTGGGCCATGGCGAGAACCTGCGGGACACACAAGACCAGAGGGGGCTGCGGGGAAGCGCCGGGGGGAGGGCACACCCAGCCGGGGGCACCCTGCTCGGCCCCGCCCGTGCGGCCACCGCCTGGAGGAGCGGGGAGCCCGCCGGGGTGAGGGGGGCACGGGGCGAGGCGGCGGCGGCAGCGGCAGCAGGGCCCGGCGGTACCCACGGTGCGCCGCCGGCAGCGCGGCCGCGGGGCGGGGAGGCCGCGGCTCAGGACCCGCAGCCCCCAGCGCAGCATCGCCCGGGGCCGGGAGGGACCGGGAGGGACCGTGAGGGGCCCGGAGGGACCGTGAGGGGCAGCCCCGAACCCGCGGCCCGGCTCCTCCCGGGGCACTTACGCGGCCGGCGGGGACACGTGCGCCGGGTACGGCGGCCGCGCGCGGACACGGCGGGGCGCGCGCGCGCTGAGGCAGCGGCCGTGAGGGGAGCGGGGAGGGGAGAGCGGGGAGGGGGCCGAGGTGAGGCGAGCGGGGCTGAGGGGAGGGGGCCGCACCCGCCCCGGCACCCCCGGCCCCCGCTGCCCGTCCCGCAGCCGGGGCCGTGGGTGTTCCCGGTGACCCCGGTGGGGGCATTGCCCTGCTCGGTCCCGCCTCCCAGGGAAGCGCAGGGGAAGAGGACAAACTAACGAATGCGTTCCCGTGGTAAATGGTAGCTTGCACTGTGGGCACAGTGAGGGGAGGCCAGGCGGGTGGAAACAGCTCCACACGGCACACGGGTCTGCAGGGAAAGCCCACGGTGTCCTTCCCAGAGGGATGTCACGCTGCTGCCTCTCTCTCCCTGCTCCACAGAGGGATGTCACACTGCTCCCCACCTCTTCCTTTTCCACACACCTTCCCCTTGTGCCAGTGTCAAGCACGGCCACCTCCTGTTCCGTTTCCCCTCAGGTTTCCATTGCTCAGCCATCCTCGTGCTCGTGTCTGGCGCAGCGAGTTAATTTATCCGCGCTTCACGGCCAGGCCGAGCACAACAGGAGCCCTTACCAGGCCACAGCACGTACCTCCCGAAAAGCCAAACGCACCTGGAGTTGTTCTGTTGTGCCACGATCTCCAGTGCTCCAACAGGACGGAGCCACCCGCAGAGGACACGAGTTCCTCGGCACGCCACGAGATCAGGGTAAGAGAGCTCCATTTACCCATTCAGATGGAACATGGAAGGGTTGACGCCTCCGAGCAGGCCGGATTGTCAAACACAGCTTGTCATTTCGGCTAATAAGGGGAAGAAATGCAGCACGTCCTTTTTTTTTTTTGAACTGACACTTCTGAGATATTTCGGGAGCGGGATGGGGCAAAGGGAGGATTTATCGCAGGGTCCCAGCCGCACTTTGTTTAGAGGAGTGATAAAGGATGGCCTGTCACAGCACAGCGCTGCTGCCAAGGGAAACGGGAATACAAATCCCTCTATCGCTGCAACCACGGTGTCTGAATCTTTTTTTGCCTCATTTCCTTAGGAAGTGGAGCTTATGCAATCGTGCTGCCCGTCCACCACATCGCTTCCTCCTCCTCCTCCCCTGCCCTGATTTCTGAATTTGGCTCATTTCAGTTAAATTTGGGAGAGGGAAGAAGACCCCAGATGATACGAAAAACAGTGATGGGACAGGAGAAAGACTTACCTGGATATCCCAGGAGGGAAAAAGCTTTGGCATCCCAGCTCCTCACCTATTCCAAGAGTAGCCAAGAAGCTTCCAGACAGGTGCCATGGGCTCTGCTCTCAACCTGCCATGGCACGTCCTGCCTCTTCCTTTTTAGTTTGTCTATTTTATCTTTAAGCATCTCTATATAATTTATCTATTTTATTTTGCCACCAAAGGCAAGGCCTTGCCAGAGTTGCCTGAGTGTTCTGTGGGAGCTCTGAAATCCACCTCATCAAAGCTCTCTAGGAACCACCCAGTGCTTCTGGGGGCTCACAGACAACTAACCCTTGTCGAACGGGGAGCAGAATGGCCATGTTTTGAGGCAGTTAATTCAATTTTCACAGCGCTGTCAGTGTCACTCCTCACTCCAAACTTCGGCCGCCTGCAGGTGGGGCTCTGGCGATGTGGAACGGCCGCTCCTGCCTTGTCCTGGGAGCACCCACAGCCCTGGCTCCTCGGCTGCTCCCTGCCTTATTTCAAGAGGAATTGCCTTAAATTCACGGAGAAATGTTATTTGTTTTAAATCAATACAAAAAGCTCTGAGGGAACATCCTGTTTTGAAGGACACTTTCTTCCTATCGTTCTCTGCTGGAAGAAAAAATCTGCTAAACTGATCTATAATGAGGCTTTGCTGCACAGCATTAGAAGTTCAGGGGATACCAACTGTTGTGAATTAAAAGACATTTACCTCTGTGTGGGGAACTGGAGACAAGCTGCACTGCAAGGGATGAGGAGCACCTTAATCTGCAGCTCCCTTGCAGTTCTGTATCGGGCCTTTAGCTGGAAACAAGCACACAGGAGAATACAAGGGAAAAGCAGTGAAAACTTTCAGATGTGCAGAATGTTCCTGTTTGAGACCAAGGCAAGTGTTCTTTCCTCCATCAGGTGCTCCCAGTGTAACAAAGGCCAGTCCTTTCCCACTTGGGAGTGCCTGGACTGCCTAAACAAGATCTGAATTGGGAGTTTAGCACCATTTCACTTGTGTTTCAAGGTTACCTGCAGCACTCTTGTAATTCCCCACCACAGGGCACTCATGACCCCTGTGCTGATGGAAGGAAATACTCACACACAGCAGATGCTGAGAAGGAGCCAAAGACACAAAGCCCGTGTGCTGTAGGTCTGTGGTGTGTTACCTCATGCTCTGGACTTGGGAATGGCTTTTTGGGAGCTGACTTCTCCTGCACCAGGGCTTTGGATGTGAGCCATGTTGTGGACACACACAGGCACGTTTTACAACATGGGCAGTGGCTGGGTCCAGCTCCCAGGGATCTCTGGCAGTAGTGTCTGCGTCCCAGCAAGGGATCATGAAGGATAATTGTGTATATTTGGGTTCCCCTCTGTCCATGGTAATGGAAGAGACCTGTGTTTGACATTTTCTTCAGCTCGCTCTTAGAAATACCCTGTGTAACGTCTTTTCTGAAAGCACTCAAACCCCTTGCCAGGTTTCAGCTCCCAGGAGGCAGGGGGGGTTGTGACTCTATTGTCCCTGAAAACGCTGTTTTTAGACAGAAATGTCCCAGGAAAGTTTGAATGCCCTCACTGCATGCCATTCCTTGCCCAGGGAATGGCGCCCATCCTCGGTGCTACATTTATGGCAATAAAGTTAAATAAATCCCCCCGCTGGTGTTTGGAGAGCGTTGATCCCTGCCCTGCAGCACGTTGTCTCCCTGCACACAGCCCCTTGTCCTCCCTCAAAACCCCTCCAACCATCACACCTTGCAGTGTGCCACTGCAGAGGGGGGATGCCAGGTCAAACTCCACAGAGCTCGGAGGTGAAGGAGTTAACTCCTCACCAAATAAAGCTTTCAAAGAGCTGGAAGCGAGTGCTGGATCTTTGTAGATCTTTGTATCGCCCTGGTTCAACACACACCCACTCGTTTCTACTTCCTTGATGTCACCGAGTCACCTCTGATCTTTCAGAGTTGAATGAGCGTGTTTTCACTGACGTACTTACCAACAGCTAAATATAAAGCGCAGGAACGGAGCCAAATGCCCTGGAAGAATTGCTCGGATTTGTTTTCTCCCCAAATCAACAGCAGCCAAACGTCACAGTCAACATCTAGAAAGCTGTGCCGTTTTCACTGGTGCTTTTGAACTGTTCAGGCCCCATGGCTTTTAGAAGAGCCTGTTTGTTGCTGTTGTTTAAGTCTTCCCAGCTAGCACTTTCCCCTTTTGCTCTGCTGCCTGTGAAAGAGTCCTACGGATTCAGCAGAGCACTCTCCATCCACACGGGCATGTGACACCCAGCGCTCCGTCCTTCATTTGGCTACGGTGTTTTCACCTGAACCTTCAGGACACATCCCAGATGCAGGGCTTGATTTCATCCTCCAGTATTCGAACAACACAGAGCAACACTGCACCCAGCGCTCTCACCATCCTCACTGTCCCTTCTGCCACGTTCAGTGGGCAGGAGAAAACTAAGCCATGTGCCTGCTCTGTTCAAATAACAAACTGCAGTGAGTACAAACACAGCAGTAAAACATTTAATCATAATTAAAAATACCCAAATCTTATCACAACACTCACGCTTCAAGCCCCTGTTCCGGCAACAAGCTTTCTGATTCTATTAATTAAAAAAATTATTAACGGAGTTTAAAATAATACGTAATTATTAGGTCTTGTAAAACCACCAGCCCAAACCCACACTCCACTCTCACCCTTCACAGGGCCAGCAAACGCCCTCCTGTCCAGAGTGCTCTGCAATAAATGACTCTGTCAGGCAAATACTGAAACATGGACAAAATTTAAGCCTCTGACTGTCTGGGAAGGGATCTGCTATCAATTTGTGACAGTTTCTAACCACTGCAGGAGGAGAGCACAGCCAGGCTATAAGGACAGATGACGTAACACCCAGAACTGGCTTCAACTTTTCCCAGTTCCAAAGCTTCCACCTATCAGGCAAGGTGGATTTTCTGCCTCAAGCTTCACCTGCTGTGAAAAGGGGACAACAGCCCTTTCTTTGTCTAAAAGTCAAGTCTGGTAGAACACATTAAAGACCTCTCTCAAATACTGCACTAACTGGAAATATAAAGTACTGAAAACAGGCCACTAACAATTTCAAATCAGTTTTATTTTCTTAAATTGGTGTTGTACAATTTAAAGCCAAAAAAAAAAAAAAAGTCACACAAAACACAAATAAAAAATGTTGACAAAGTATCAAGCATTACCTTATAAAGAACATCATCATACGCTCTCACAAACCTGAAGGTACGTGTTTTATTAGACTGAGGTTTCTTGAAATCTATTAAAGACACCAGACACAAACGCTGCAACAGCAACAAAGCCATGACAATAGCAGGTGGACTACACTAGCAACTTCAACAATGGTTGGGGGTTGGTTTTTGGGGTGTTTTCTTTCTTTTTTCTTTTTTTTTTTTTTTTGCATACCTTATTGTCTACAAAGCAATAAATATTTTTCACCAAAAAAGTTGGTTTCACGCTACATGCAGTTAGATAAAAAAGTCACCAAAGTGATGGCAAAATAAATCACCTGTGGATTTGTTTTTCTGGTTTTCTTTTTCTTTTTTTTTTTTTTTTTTTTAATCTCCCCTGGTTTTGGGGTTATTTTGTGTGGGTTTTTTGTGTTTTTTTGTTTTGTTTTGTTTTGTTTTTTTAATTCAAGC